TTGAGGAAATAGATATGTACAGGTTGGGGCAAAAGTAGGCTTATAGTTATTTGTATGGAAAATAATACAATAATTAATAGATAACAACACAGGAATAAATGGTGTTTTGCATTCTCACAACTGTAAACCTACTTTTGCTCTACCCTGTAGAATTCAAGAAGGCGTAAATATAGCATGTATGCTATGTGAACTTTTCTTCATATATAAGGTAACATATAAATGTATATATAATTTTCTCTCCTATATAAAGTAACTATATTCATTACTATCCACTTTTTTTACTGTCTATAAAAATTACATATATAATCTTAATTGTGAAATTTCACTCTTTATATGTATAATAGTGCAATTGGATATTCATTACATTATTATAATGTAACATGTAAATGTAATATATAATTTTTTCTTTCTATATATACTGTAACTGGTCTTTATATATGAAGAGTTTAAGTTCAAAATTAGGGAGAAGTTTACGTATAACTTTTTTTTCACAAATAGTAAAGAACTCCAGTTTAGTCTAACATGGATTATATCTCAGCTACCTCCTAACATCCCAAATTCCTGCATCATGATGTTTGAATTTGTACATCATTCCCTGTATAATAAGACTCTTCCTGGTCTGGTTCTGAATCCCCACCCAATTTGGGGTTGTTATATTCCCTTGAATCTAAACTCTGTACTTTCTATTTCATTAGGGAAAAGGTATCTTCTTCAAAGTTTGTTGTGGGTTAGAATAATTCTTTCAGGTATTTGAGAATATAGCATTTTATGCTTCCAGTAACAAGATAGAATATAATTGTATTACAAACTTGTGATTCTACCTAACAGTTTATCTCCGCTTGTTCATTTAAAAAGTAGGTTGAATAATATTTTCTTTATTCTTTCAACTAGATTCTTAAGGACAGAGTTTTTCCTCTTCCAGGGCTATGTAAAAATAGAGCTAAGTTTAACATTTCAGATAGTCAGTGATTCTTAATTGCAAGTGTGTGATTGCCTAAAAGCTCAAAGGGATTGAGTTTTACAAAGGCATGTTGCATTGAGTTGTTTACTTTTTTTCTTTCTGAGACGTAAACTATTACTGTTATTTTAGGAACCTTTACCAGTTTCACCTGCACTTCAGAAACAAGATAGAATGCTAAAAAGATGGCAAGATATCCAGCTATGGCTATGCTCTAGAAAAGTAATAGCAGCAAAAAGAATTCATTATGATGTCAACCCAAGTGTGCAGACATTACTTTTAAAAGAGGTATCAGTGAGATACTATTCTAGAGCTCAGTTCATGCCTACAATTAAAAGAATATATTAAAAATATGAAATGAGTGATATTACCTATGAAATTTTGACTCATAGAAGAAAAACATAAAATAGTATAAAACATAATTTGTATAATAAATATATGTTATTACCTCCTAAAATGGTATCTTTATAATTATAAGTAAATCTACATAGATTATTGGGAGGTGCATGGTATTTCAAGTGAGGGTATGTTTTTCCTAACATCTTTGAAATGTCATCAATTGTGACCCTCACATCTCAGCTGTATAAATTGTATTCAGTTTTATGTATGGCATGTATGGTTGCCATAAAATTTTATTGATTTTTTTTTTTGCATGTGCCCTGACCAGGAATTGATCTGTGACCTCCTGGTTCATGGGTCAACAGTCAACCACTGAACCACACCGGCCGGGCACCATACATTTTTAAGCCAGATTCTTTGTTTTGCCATTTTTATAAGTATGGGAAATCCTACAGTTTTTGCCTTATGTAGGATGAATAAAACAATTTAAATTCACTAGTGTGTTTCCTATAAGAATGTTAGTTAGCAGTTTTTAAGCATTTAAGATTCTATTGTAGCAGCTAAAAACTATATTTCTGAATTTTCAGTTGTATTACGTTAAACTGGATTATAATTAATACTTCAAGATTCTCTGGCTTATCTGGCATAAGTATGATAGAGGTATTGAAGATAAATTTAATTTATCTTTAATATTAAATAAATAATTAACCTTCATTTTATTTTAATTAAACAACCCCTAAATTTAATAGCCAAAAAATTCATCCTTTGGCTTTCTGCTTACAGTTGTAGATAATTATTGTTAATCAAATTACTAGTTTGTGATGAAGTGCTCCCTACTTACTGTATGCTTGCCTTGCTTTCACCTAGAATCTAGGGCCATTACTTTCTGTAACCATTTCAGTGAGCTGCCATAGTTTTCGGTCTGTACTGTCACCTGATCCAAGCATGCGCCCAAAATATCCACTGTTTCTGGCTCCTGTCTGCTGAATCTGCTTTGCAAAATCTTTCGTTCTTTGAGCTTTTGCTTTAGCCAAAAACCAAATTTAAGAAATTCTTTGGAGTGTGGACATATGCCATTTGCTTCTTTAGCTCCCATGTTATGTAACTTGTTAGCTTTTATTAAACTTGTAAATAATTACAACAGTGGCATCCCCATGTGCAACTGCGTGGCTCGTGTGTCAAAATAAAGGCTGCTTGTGAACTTGTCAGAAGAATATGAATGCTCCACTTGTGCTGCATTCAGCTTTTTATTTATTTTTTATTTTTTTTAATCAGCCACCTATTCTTTCATAGTGTTTGGTTTAATTATCTGATTATTTTATGTGTTATACCAAGGTAAGTTTGATGTAATGAACTTTGTATTCTATGTGATTACATGTATCTCATAGTAATTATTATTACATACTTTTCCATTTAGACATGCTAGTCATTTAAAAATAAATATATTTTGAACATGAACTAAGTGGCTTCCTCCATTTTTCATTAATTTGAAAAAGTGTTATGTATTACTTCTTGTAAAATTCATTCTTAAAATAGAAAAGCTACCATGTATTACTTGTGGCAAAAATGTAGGCACACCTAATGTGAGAAGATATATTTTTATAAAACCATAGTATATAATTATTTGTCTTAGCAAAAAATAGTTTAAACTTACAGAAAGATATAAGAAGTAAATAGCAGGCCCTACTAGTGCATTTAGGAAAAGTTAGACTTTTTATTTTACACAGTTTTTTACAAAATAATTATTTTCTAAACAGAAATATTTCTATTATTATTTATGGTATCTATTTTCAAAGAATAAATAATTTGATAGATTAAGTAACTATGTTCTAAAAATTCCCTATTAGGAAAGGATGATATTAAATAGATGTTTTTTTATACTTCTCTTAAAAGAAAAAGAGTATGGATTTGAAAGTGTATTTGTGCTGTTAATGTCTGCATTTCAGTTAAAACTATGAAGAAATTCTTTAGCATAATAGTATATGTGCAAAATAGGACCACCTAATTCTCTCACACATGTCTTAATTCATAATATTGATTGCTAACACCGTATTGTAGTCTTTTCTATTTCTCTTTCTTTTTCTCCTACTTTGACATTTTTCTTAGTTTCCTGGAGTCTGCATTTTTTCTTTTCTTCTGAAAGAAAGTTTTAGGGTAGCTCTGTCTTGGATCCAAAGCTTTAATTCAAGAAGTGGCTGACATCATTTGTAGTTCTGGCCTTTATCTCCTCATTTCTCCCTTTTGCTGATCTTCCTCCCGTGGAGGAAACAAAATTACATCATAGGAATGTGAGCCATAGTAAGCCTTTAACCTTTCTTTACTTTGCTGTCTTCAATATTTCACTAGTGAGTATAATTCTACTTATTCTTCTTATTTTGCAAAACATATTTTGAAAATGGATATATACTGAAATTCAAAAAAGAAAGTTTGGAGATTGTTTCATTTTCAGTTTTAGTAGTGCCTTATGTGTGGAAAATTTACAATAAGAGCTTAACATACTATTTAGAGTTGGTTTTTTTCTATTTCAACAGTTTGCCACAAAAAGAAATAAATTAGGATGTGCTGATTATAGTCCGTTTCTGTTTCTAACATCTTTGTATATAAAAAGCTAGTATAATTTGCAGCTGCTGTTCACCAGTATTTGCAGCTATATGCAAGTGATTAGGAAGTATGTGTGAGTGATGCTCCATTTATAATGCTCCATTACAAAACAACATTGGATTTCTCTATGGTAATGAAATCTAATTCTGGGATTTTAAGGCATTTACTTAATTACAGAGCCATACGTGGAATTACAGTGTTCTATCTGAAATTTGTCCCTATATACAATGACCAAAATTATTTGTATTAATCTTTTAAATGTATTTGTTTTTTTTATTTTGAATTGGCTAGTCCCTTTATATTTTGTCATTTTACTTTAGGACCCACATCTTTTTAGAAGGATAGCTACAGATGGCTTTCTCTTTTTTTAAAATTTTTTTTTATTGGTTTTAGAGAGGAAGGGAGAGGGAGAGAGACAGAGAAACATCAGTGGTAAGAGAGAATCATTGATCGGCTGCCTCCTCCATGCCCGCTACTGGCGGTCGAGCCCACAACCCAGGCATATGCCCTGGATCGGAATCGAACCTGGGACCTTTTAGTCCGCAGGCTGACGTGCTATCCACTGAGCCAGACCGGTTAGGGCGGGCTTTCTCTCTCTCTCTCTCTCTTTTTTTTTTAACATCAATAAATCTTTACCTTGGAAAGAACTCAGAATATAGTGGGTTATAAAAGATAGGTACCAGGAAATGAAATCTGAATCTATATTAAGTTTATAGATATGATTCATAGTGTGTTCTCTCAGTGAGGTGAGATATAAGATACCTTCTCAATTTAAGATTAGAATCTGGAAAGTCTGGGTCAACATTTTAAGTTATATCTAATTAAATACATCTCTATAGATGTCCCTTAAAGTAATAAAGTAAATAGAACTAGGTGTTTTCCCCCCCCAGCAATCAAGTTTAAAATGTTATACTTTTTGAGAAGTAGCATTACATTAAAATGTTAAGCTTTTGAGAGGTAGTATTTTAAAGATGTGACGTTGTAAAATCTGTTGTAGAACAGTACTTTTTTTTGCCTTCCGGAGTATGTTTATATAAACATTTCTTTTTCATATAGACAATGTACTATTGAGTAGTAAACTGATTTAAAATTTATTTTTCAGATGAACCAGAAACTCGAGATGCGTGGTGGGCAGAAATCAGACAAGAAATAAAGTCACATGCTAAAGCATTAGGCTGTCATGCTGTAGTGGGCTACAGTGAATCAACTAGCATCTGGTAAATGATAATACAACGTGCTTTTCTAGATGCTGTAACTTACAGATTGTCTTCTGAAAGGGGAAAGGCTTTATGCAAATATAGAGAGAAGAATAGCAGGTGATCCAGGCGCATGGTCTTTAGAGTACCTCAGACTGAGGGTTAAATGCCATTTTTGCCTCTGAATTGCTGTGAAATTTTGAGAAAGTTACTCTGCTCCTCTGAGCCTCAGTGTACACATTGAATGAGAATATAATACTGGCACACAGTAAATATTAACTCTAGGCTGATTTTACTCCAGGTTGTGACTCTATCAACTTCTGCCTCTGGGATCTTTGGAACCCTTGATCTATGCAAATGTACTGCCTTGTGTCTTTAAAGCTCATCTGTACACTCTTTCTACCTTCTTTTACTAACTGTTACTTAACTTTCTCCTACTAACCAAATCATCCTAATTCTGCCAAGCAATGAAGGGACTTCCATACTGTTAGTTCTCAAAATCTTTTTTCCCTATTTCTCATTTGAACCTCTTCTCCTTTAAAGTCCATGCCGTTCCACAGTTCAGACTTTTCTCCCTCCCTCCAAAGCAGCCTTCTGCCTGTCTTAATTTCTTCTCTGCCATCTCCTCCAGTTAGAGTAATTAACTCACTTCTATCACCCTGGCATTGTATTTCTCATTCTTAAGTCCTCTATCTCCACTTGACTTTTAACCATACTTTGGACCTCATTTTCACTCAAAACTGTTGCCTCTTAAAAATGTGAAACTCTTCCATTGCCCTAGGAGCAGTATCGGTGAAGAAATTGCTTTGGCATATGTCTGAGATTTTGCTGCCTGTGGATTCCTCTAGAATTTTTATGGTTTCCCATCTTATGTTTAAGCCCTTTATCCATTTTTGAGTTTATTTTTGTGTAAGGTGTAAGTTGGTGGTCTAGTTTCATTTTTTTGCATGTATCTGTCCAATTTTCCCAACACCATTTATTGAAGAGATTGTCTTGACTCCATTGTATGCTCTTGCCTCCTTTGTCAAATATTAATTGAGCATAGTGGTTTGGGTCGATTTCTGGATTCTCTGTTCTATTCCATTGATCTATATGTCTGTTCTTGTGCCAGTACCAGGCAGTTTTGAGAACCGTGGCTTTGTAATACAGCTTGATATCTGGTATTGAGATCCCACCTACTTTGTTCTTCTTTCTCAGGATCGCTGCAGCTATTTGGGGGGTGAGGGGGGTAATGGGGGGATAAGGACACATATGTAATACCTTAATCAATAAAGAAATTAAAAAAAATGTGAGACTCTTAAGACTTCATTCTTGGATCACAATAATTTCCTCCACACCATTTGCTCATGCGCACCTGGTTTGTTTGGGCCTCTATCATAACCAGGGGTTTTTCTAGTTCCTTACTCAGGTTCTGGCTTTACTTATTTCTGCCATCCTTGTACCCTACTATAATTTCCTTCAAAGTTTACAATAGATATCATCTAGAAACTAACCTTCTGCTGTCTTATTTTCCATCTTCTGTTCTTAGATAATTACTGGAATTATTACGTGGATAATTCTCTTGCATTTGTGGTGATCATTATTAGAGAAGAAGGATTAGATTGTAGTAAATGTGGACATTACAGAGCCATGCCTGTTGCATCTTTATCTTTACAGTCCATGTATTATCTTATTGAACTGTTCTATTCCCATTGTAGTTATACTTTTGTTAAACTACTAACTCTATTATGCTTATCCTGCCTTATTCCCCAATATATAGTCTTGCTTCATTCACAGATTTAAGGGCACACACTTTGAAGTCCTAGGGATATGGTTTTAAAAGACATAGTTTTTGTTATCAGATTCACATTATACTGGAGAATTATGATGAATATACATTTTATGATAGAGATATCCCAGGATGCTTTGGGATCCCAGAGGGTTGGAGGTTAAAGGTATGATTAGAAGAAAGTGTTAATGTAGTAATTGAAGCTTGAATGGAATCTTGAAGGATGAGTATGAATCACATAAATGAAGTGAAGAGGCATAAGGAGTGTTCAAGGCTAAAAACAACACTGGAGGAGGTTGAGATTCAGTGAGGCTGGAGATAGATCACAGATGTGAGGTCTACAGACATGAGTCCAATTAATTTACTTAGAAGTTTGAATTCATCTGACACAAACTCCTTTTTTTTCTCTAGACCTCAAAAAGTCTTTGTATTAAATCCCGTCTTTACTAATGTGTTCTGTTCTAACCCATCCAACTTACTTTTACTGTATTAAACTCCTTGAACTACACCTGCTCTTATAGCTCCTTGATTCAGTGTCTTCTAGTTACTCCATGTTATTCCTTCTGACATTCTCAGTACCCACTTGAACATTTTAAGCCTGGCCTCTCTAATCAAGTGATCATTTCTTTCTTGTCCTCTTAGGCTTCCCATCCATTTACACTTTGTTTCCAGCCTTTTGTCCCTAGGCTGCTACTTTTCTGATTTGCTTTGTGATCTCTTTCAATATTTCTGTGGTCTACTTTTTTTTTTGGCTTTCAAATTGGGTAATATATAGTAAAGACTCTCAAAGAATTCTTTTGAATATAAATTTTTAGTATATACATAAAATGATGTAGTTTAAGCTCCATTTAGTATATTTTGGATATTATTTGTTTCAGATACTTTTTATTATTAAGTTTATATTAAGCTTTAACAATATAGGTATATATGTAGTTTGTTTTTAGAATAATTTAAATAAAATTTAATGTGCACTTAGAAGTTTGTAATATGTTTTAATGAGCTATTGCCTGACTCAACAATATAGTTACTACTTTCATTTTGAAATATTCCTATCTTACTCAGGTTTACCATATTTTAAAGGAAGTTATTGTCATTAATATTATACTTTATCTTTTACAATTTTTAAGTAATAAAGAATTCTTGCCTTCTCCATTTTAATAACATTACATTTCTTCTATTTTCTCTCCTAGGTTTAGGAGGTAATCCTGTGATATTATTAATATTTAGTAGAGTCTAACCTGAATTTAAATTGTCACCCTTGTAATCACTCTGATATTTAATGTTTTCCAAACTTAGATTACCTGAAAATGTTAACTTGTTTTATTGTTTTTTCTTTTATAGTGAAGAGGTCTGTATTTTATCTGCATCTGGCACAGCAGCTGTTCTGAACCCTAGATTTCTGCAGGATGGCACCGTGGAGAGCTGTTTGGAACAGAGGTTGTCATGGCAGCCTGGCTTGTTTTCCATAAGGGCAGAGAAGGGAGAGGTTGATTTCTTTTGTCAGAGCTGGGATAAGTCTTCTCTGTGAGGGTGGGTTACAGTGGGACAGTGTAGGAATCAGGACCAGGCACTTTACTGATTTTTATCTAATGCACAGCAACAGAGCAGTATTGAGATCTGCACTATATGACACACATAATTTCTAGTATCTTGATAAGTGACATGTATGATTACCAATTGCAGAATTTCAAGGAGACATTTTTTTGTTTGTTACATTATAGAAATAATTTCTTTGATTTGATTTTTTCTTTCTTTTGTCTTACCTCTAAAATGGAAAAAGACTATGAAACAATTTTTATAAAGAGAATTCTTCTTTTATAAAACCATCAAAACACTATATTATACCAAAATTATATCTAAAGCTTCATGGAAAGTGAAATGTTTTTATTAGAAATTCTTAAATTACACTTGCATTATATCTGTCATGCAATAAGAAAATATCACCTTTTTTGTCTAACCATTTGTTTTTATGTTGTATCCCAAAGAAAAAACTTTGAATTAATAGTGTTTTTTGTCAGGTGGTAAGTCATCACACAAATTGATAAAAAATGATTTTCTATTTGTAAAAGCCTTTTCTCTCACATGGTTCTCATTTCATGGTCATTTGTAATTCTTACCAGTCATAGTGGTACTCTCTGTGGTAGAAATTGTTGTGTAGTTTGTACACAAGAACTATGTATGTAATATGTTTGTTTGTTTTTAAAGAAGCACAGAATTTTCAACTGTGCCTTATTTTTCTTCTTAATGTATTCATATAGGCTAGAAGAAAATTTGCCTGCAGGCTGTGGATTTTGCCATATACCATATGATGAACTGAATATGCCATTTCCAGCTCATCTCACATATTGCTATAACTGCAGGAAACAAAAAGTTCCTGATGTTCTCTTTACAACTATAGACCTCCCAATAGATGCTACAGTTATTGGAAAAGGTTGTCTTATTCAAGCAAGGTATGTTTGTGAAATCAGTATTTGGGGTCCCTGAAAGAGTATGGGGTACGGAGCCCAATAGACCTATTTTCAAATATCTGCTCTGTTTCCTACCTGGGATCCTGGACAGGCTGGGAAGTTCTGTTTGAACCTTGTATATTATCATAGAGAAAATTGGGAGGAAAAATACCCTCATTATAAAACTTAAGTAAGTTTATATTAGTTTTAAACATTTAAATTCTGTATATATTTTTTTTTATTATGATTATTATTAATTAACCTGTTGAAGGACCGGGATGTGACTCAGTATGCTTTTGGAAACTGACATTTTTCTTTTAAAAAACAGTGCTATTTAGTATTTCTTTTATTATTTCTCTTAGCTGGTAAGAGTTCCTTTTAAACTGACAAGAGTAGGAAATGGTAAATTGTGGTAGGCATATGGGAAACAGCTCTGATTGTCTACTAGTAGGTCACTAACAGCTGCCGGGTTACCAAGTTCAGTGAGCATTTCTGTCCTCATCTTCCTTGACATTCCAGCATAGTCATACAGTTGATCGTTTTCTCTTTTTTGAAACTTCTTTGACTTCAGAACTCCAAACCTTCTGCTTTTTCTTACCTTTATGAATGGTGTCTAGTCTCCTTGTTGATTCCTCTTCATTTCTTGATCCTTGAGAGCCATGAGTTTGGATCCTCCTTTCAAAACTCTCTCCATAGTTGAACCCATGTTACCTGTGTCTGTGTCTCCCAAATTTATAACTTCAGTCCAGAACTTTCTTCTGAGCTTCAGACCCATATACTAACCTGCTACTTCACATCCCATTTTTAAAATTATTTTTAAAAATTTTATCTTTATTGTTGAAAGTATTACGGATGTCCTCCTTTTTACCCATTGACCCCCCTCCCCTTCCCCAAATCTTCACCATGCTATTGATGTGTCATAGATGTCTCATGCTTATTCCAAATTGAACTGCTGATTTTTTCTACTTCTTTCATATTAGCCTTCTCTACTTTAATAACTTATGCCTTGCTCTGTCCAGTTCTTCATGATAAATATGGTATTTTTTTTGACATTGTCTTTTTCCTAATTTCCCCACTTGTTATTACAAAGCTATGTTGCGTTTTCTTCGAAATATATTTTTAATCTACTTACTTTTGTTTTATTCCCTCCTTCATTTTAGGCCTTTCATTTTGGGTTGTTTTACTTTTGCATGAGGTATGTCCTTTAGTATTTCTTTGGGTGGGTCTGCTGGTGGTGAGCTTTCTATTTTTGCTTATCTGAATGTGTTTATTTTATCTTTTTAAAATTTTAAAATTTTTTATTTTTTTGAAGGATTATTTCTTAGTTTTTTAATTATAGCTTTCTCATCTCCACCCTTTCTTTCTTTCTTTCTTTCTTTCTTTTTTTTCTGGTTTGATGGGGAGTTGAATATTTTTTTTTTAAATTAAATCTTTATTGTTCAGATTATTACAGTTGTTTCTCCCCCCCCCCCCCATAGCTCCCCTCCACCCAGTTCCCACCCCATCCTCTGCCATTACCCCCCCACCCACTGTCCTCATCCATAGGTGTACGATTTTTGTCCAATCTCTTCCCGCACTCCCCACACCCCTTTCCCCCTGAGAATTGTCAGTCCACTCCCTTTCTATGCCCCTGATTCTATTATATTCACCAGTTTATTCTGTTCATAAGATTTTTTATTCACTTGATTTTTCGATTCATTTGTTGATAGATATGTATTTGTTGTTCATAATTTTTATCTTTACCTTTTTCTTCTTCTTCTTCCTCTTCCTCTTCTTCTTCCTCTTCCTCTTCCTCTTCCTCTTCTTCTTCTTCTCATCCTCATCCTCATCCTCATCCTCATCCTCATCCTACTCCACCTTTCAGCATTTCATATAATACTGGTTTGGTGGTGATGAACTCCTTTGGCTTTTTCTTATCTGTGAAGCTCTTTATCTGACCTTCAATTCTGAATGATAGCTTTGCTGGGTAAAGTAATCATGGTTGTAGGTTCTTGCTATTCATCACTTTGAATATTTCTTTCCACTCCCTTCTGGCCTGCATAGTTTCTGTTGAGAAATCAGCTGACAGTCGTATGGGTATTCCCTTGTAGGTAACTGAGTTTCTTTCTCTTGCTGCTTTTAAGATTCTCTCTTTGTCTTTTGCTCTTGGCATTTTAATTATGATGTGTCTTGGTGTGGTCCTCTTTGGATTCCTTTTGTTTGGGGTTCTCTGCGCTTCCTGGACTTGTAAGTCTATTTCTTTCACCAGGTAGGGGAAGTTTTCTGTCATTATTTCTTCAGATAGGTTTTCAATATCTTGCTCTCTCTCTTCTTCTGGCACCCCTATAATTCGGATGTTGGTGCGCTTGAAGTTGTCCCAGAGGCTTCTTACACTATCTTCATATTTTTGGATTCTTTTTTCGTTTTTCTTTTCCAGGTGGGTGTTTTTTGCTTCTTCGTATTTCAAATATTTGACTTGATTCTTATAATCCTCTAGTCTGCTGTTGGATCTCTGTATATTATTCTTTATTTCAATCAGTGTATGCTTAATTTCTTGTTGGTCCTTTTTCATATCCTCGAAGGTCTCACTAGATTTATCAAGGGTCTCACTAAATTTATCGGTGGTTTCTAGAAAATTCTTGAAAAACCTTATAACCGTGTTTTTGAACTTTATATCCAGTAGTTTGCTTTCCTCCATTTCTGTCATTTTTGACCTGTTTCTTTGTCTTTGAATTTTGGCTGCTTCCCTGTGTTGATAGAGTGGCTTTCTGTGCTAGGTGTTCTATAGGGCCCAGTGGCTCAGCCTCCCCAGTTACCTGAGGTGGACCCTCTTGGTGCACCCCTTTGTGGGCTTTGTGCACAGTCTTGTTGTAGTTAAGCCTTGATTGTTGTTGGTATCACTGGGAGGAATTGACCTCCAGGTCAATTGGCTGTGAGAATCAGCTGTGTCTACAGTGGGAGAACTTCTGTGCTGGAGACACCCTTATGAGGCAAGACTTGCTTCAGTAGGGCTTTGGTGCTCACTGAGTCTGTCCCCTGAGTGTGTCCTTTATGGATCTGAGGAGTTGTAATCTGGATGGTCCCACTCTGACCACTGGGTACACTGGCTCTTGGATCTAAGGAGGTGCTAATTTAGCCTCTGCCTGAGGCTACCCAGCAGGAGCTATGGAGAGATCTGCAGATTCCTCTTCTTTGTTTGGGGTTTGAGGTGCCCAGATGAGGCCCAGCTATGAAGCAAGGCAAGCTTCTGTGGGGCCTTGGGCTTTCTTTTGGATGTTCTGGGTTTCTCTGACCCAGCTGCAGTTTGTTAGGTAATTTTACATTGCAAAGGGCTAGGCCATTCATATGCAAAAGCCTCTGCTGCGCACAGCTTGGGTGGGGCGAGGTCTCAGGGAATCAACAGGGCGGAGCAAACAGCTATGGCTGATCCTCAGCCCTGCCCTAAGAGGCCCTGGGTCTCAGTGTCCCACAGTAATTGCTGCAAGCACCTCTGAGAGAAAGCCGCCCTCGGGTTCTGCCCGCTGTCAGACAGTCCAGTTTCTCCCCATATGGGTCTGGATCCCCAGAAACTCACCTGGAACTGGAGTTCAGAGCAGTGGGGAGCTTGTGTCTCCCTCCTGATTGAAAAAGACAACCGCATCCTCAGTTGCCATCCCTTTCTGCATGCACCTCCGTACCTCTGCACTTTACTTCCGCACCTCCTCTGAGTCTCACTGTGCTTTTCTCTTTCCTTCTAGTTGTAGAATTTCCACTGAGCCAGCCTTCCTGTGGTTCTGGATGATGTCCATTTTGTCTTTTAGTTGTAGTTTTGAAGTGGTTGTGTGAAGCAGCAATTTCAGGTGTTTACCTATGCCGCCATCTTGGTTTCTCAATCTATTTTATCTTTAAAAGATATTTTGGGGTGGCAGTTACTTTATTTCAGCACACTAAAGATACTCTTCCACTGCCTCTTTGCTTTTATTGCTACTTTTGAAAAATAATCTGTTAGACTGTTTCTTTGAAGCTGTGTGTAAGCTATTCTTTATCTTTGGTTTTCTGCAGTTTCCCTATGAAGTGTTATGTTGGAATTATCTTTATCTTTATTGTTATATATTGGGTTTCTTGAATCTGTAGAATAATGTCTTTCATGTGTTTGAGAAAATTTTTAGATTTTAATTCTCCTATGTTTCCATCTCTTTTTTTTTTTTTAATCCTCATCCGAGGATATTTTCCCATTGATTTTTAGAGAGAGGGAAAGACAGAAATATTGATGTGGTTGCCTCCTGCATGAGCCCTGACCAGGGCCTGGGCTGGGGTCGAACCTGCAACCAAGGTATGTGCCCTTGACCAGAATTGAACCCAGACCCGGACCCTTTGGTCCACAGGCCAACGCTCTATCCACTGAGCCAAACCGGCTAGGGCTCTTCTCTCTTCTTGATACTCCAGTTAAAATGTTAGACTTTCCACTGCCTCCTCTATGTCTGTTACCGTCTCTTCTGTATTTTCTATCTTTTTGTTTCTCTTTGCTATATTTTAGATATACTTTCTTGTCTTTCAATTATTTTTCTCTTTGGCTGTCTGATATGCTAAGAAACATAATAATTTGAGTTTAAGTTTTTGGTAATTTGTTTTTTATTTATAGAAGTCTTATTTCACTCTTTTTCAAATCTAATATCATATGTTATAGTCTGATTCTGTAATTAATAATTTTAATATCTGAAATATTTTTGTTTTCTGTTGTTTCTGCTGGTTATTGTTCATAGTGTTTTGTTTCCTTTGACTGTGATAGGCACACAGGAAGTTACAAAATGGTACAAGGAGTTCCATCACTTTTCCTTATTGGTGACATCTTATACAACTGTCATAGAGTATTAGTGAGGAAATTGACATTGGTATAATTCTGTTAATCTAATGCAGAACTTATTAAGTTTTTACAACCATCACCAGTCAAGACACAGAATAATTCCAGGCCAAAACAGAAATTTTTTGTGCTATCTCCTTATGTTTATGCCCCACACTGCCCCTTGCCTTGGTCCTTTGATGCTTTTCAGAAGATTTGTGTGTGTGTGTGTGTGTGTGTGTGTGTGTGTGTGTGTGTGTATATATATATATATATATATATATTTAACCATTTGTTTGTTTGTTTTAGGTAGAAGGGGGTTGGTTTCTATCAGCAGTTCTCAGAGTGTGGTCCCAGACTAAGAAATGTCATCACCATCCTAGGGGGAACTTACAGAAATGTAAATTCTCAGGTCTCACCCCAGATTTATTGAATCAGAAACTCTGATGATGGGGCCCACTGATTGTTTCTTAACTAGTCCTCCAGGTGGTTCTGATGTAACTAAAGTTTGAGAACTACTAAGATAAATAGCCTGGCTTCCAGTATGGGGGATGGTAGCCTTTTGTCTACCATCCCTACATCAATTCTGTCATCTTTGTTCCCTTCTCTGTGTAGCAATATAAATGATGTCCTAAAATATAAATTGGCTCATGTTACTACTCAAAACCTATTTGGGGTTTTCCATTGCTGGCAGAATAAAATCAAACTCCTTACCATGACCCATAAGCCCCTAATATGATCATGCCCTTGTTTACCTGTACACTTCTAAGTACTACTCTCACCCTTGCTCACTTCACTGTAGCTATGGCGGTCACCTTTTGGTTCTTCTAATATGCTAGCTAGTTCTGTTCTATGATTGTCTTTCTCCTGCTCTCCCAGTCCCATCATGTATCAGAGATCTCAACTCAGGTGTCATCTCTCCTGTGAGGCCTCTCTAGTTATTCCCACTTATTTCACCTGGGTTATTTTCTTCAGATATTTGATTCTTAACATAATCTGAGGTTGCCTTGTTTATGTCCCCCACCACACATACATACACACACACACAAACACACACACTCACACTCACTCACTCACTGGTTTATATTCATGAGAACAAGGGTCTTTGTGAATATAACTGTTAGGGTCGCCAAAGGAGGAATGCACAAGGCCAAAAGGGGTAAAGAATTATAAATTTATTGTTACATCTGCTAGCAGAAGGGCTGAGACCAAAACAGCATCAGCGGGGCAGAGGAGGGGGAGCGGGATATTTATGTCTCTTATAAAGGTCAGTCAGAGGACCAGGTGCAGGTGGAGGCCAGGTGGAGGCGGTCCCTGGAAACTGTGGGTGAGGCAGTTTACTGGAAGCCAAAGGCCATTAATCATGAAACCTATAGTGAGAATAACAGGACAATCGCTGGGAGGGGCGAGAGCCCCAAGCAGAGCATAATGGAGTACAAGAATGTCCCTAGCAATAATCATGAGAAACAGGACTTTGTATTTTTTTCATTGATTAGTGCTCGTCACCTAGAAAAGTGCCTGGCACATGACAAATAGTCAAGTTTTATATTTTTATAAACTATGTTTTTATAAGTTTATATTCTTTCAATGAATAAATTAACTTTTCCCTTTGCTGTCCATTCATCATACAATCACATGGAGTTATGAAACCTAAGATTTAAATTATATTCTCTAGGATTTTGATCAGTATTTCATATTTAGAGATTTCGAGATTTTTTTCCTTTTGTTTGTTGAAATAGATTTTCAGCAAAAATGTATACATTGAAAAAAATGGCAGAAAGATTATTGATATAAATTAAACCTATTTGAAATGAGCAAATGTCTTCTCAAGCACACTCTTAGAAAGTTTTAAAAATTAGATATTTCTTTTTAAAAAAATATTTTTATTAATTTCAGAGAGGAAGAGAGAGAAACTTCAATGATGAGAGAGAATCATTGATTGGCTACCTCCTGCACACCCCAATAGGGAAATGAGCCCACAACCTAGGCATATGCCCTGACCGGAAATCAAACCACCCGGTTCATAGGTTGATGTTCAACCACTGAGCTATAGTGGCCAGGCCTAACTACATTCTTTTTTTTTTTTTTTTTTTAAATATATATTTTATTGATTTTTTACAGAGAGGAAGGGAGAGAGATAGAGAGTTAGAAACATCGATGAGAGAGAAACATCGATCAGCTGCCTCTTGCACATCTCCTACTGGGGGTGTGCCCGCAACCCAGGTACATGCCCTTGACCGGAATCGAACCTGGGACCTTTCAGTCTGCAGGCCGACGCTCTATCCACTGAGCCAAACCGGTTTCGGCTAACTACATTCTTTTTTAACAGGTTATGTCGTTTAAAAAAGAAAGCACAGGCAGAAGCAAATGCCACAGCTATCAGTAATCTGTTGCCATTTATGGAATACGAAGTGCATACTCAGCTAATGAATAAACTAAAACTCAAAGGAATGAATGCTTTATTTGGACTGAGAATTCAGATAACAGTGGGTGAAAATATGTTGATGGGCTTAGCGGTAAGTTTGCATGTTTTGTTTTTGCAATTCCTGTAGTTGTAGTAGATTCTGTTGTAAGTGATTCAAAGAGTCTTTTTAAAAGACTTATCTAAAGAAACTGGCATCAAGACTTTTAAGGGTTGGAGACATAAGAATTAACAGATCAGGTGATAGACTTTTAAATATTTTATAAAATTGTTATTTAAAATTAAATTAATAAATTATCACATAAAATATTGATTATCACAAAATATTAATATTTATGTTATTATATATTTATATTCTGCCCATAACCTCAGTAGTCAGATTTCTAAAAATAATCATGTGCAGCTTGTTTAGTAAGTTGACCGCCATTGTACTGGGCTTTATTGTTGTTTATATGTTGCTAAAACAGGGCTTATCCTGCTTGGAATTGTTGAGATTTGGGGCTGGATAACTCTTTGTTGTAGCGGATTGTCTCATTCATTGTAGGATATTTATCAGCATCCCTGGCCTCTGCCAACTAGAAGCTAATAACTTTCCTCCACTGTGACAACAAAAAATGTGTCCAGACTTTATCAGATGTCCTTTAGGGGGCAAAATCACTCCTGAAAGGAGATGAGGGGGAAGAACTAAAATAATCATTAGTTTTAATGGAGAAAGTAAAGCAATACCTGTGAGACACTGCCTACTGTTGGGCAGAGAATTATATTTTATTATAAATGTAACATCTGTGGTCAGAAGACAGTAGAATATGCAATAAAATGTGTCTCTTAAGTGCTGATAAATTGTGAGGCAGTGGAAAGCTCTTTATCTCAGCTTCATGTTTATCTTTGCTTATTAGAAAACAAGTTCTGTCTAGAAAAGTTGTAATGGGCATGAACTGCCTTTATAAGTAGCCTGAGATCCAGAGAACTAGTTGCCTCCGAAATATATATTGATTAGTTGGAATCTGAGCAACAATGTTTATCGAAAAGCTCTCACACACAAGATACTTTGATAGCCAGAATTTTATGTCATTGGTACTTTTAAATTTGGAATTCTCTGTCATCTTTTTGAGACATGCATATAAATTTTACCTAAGAAATTGATGAAACTTGGATTCTTTTTTTCAGTATGCATTTGTGCATAAAATGATGTTGTTTCTTGCTTCATCCACTTTTCTATAAGAGCAAATATGGAAATTTCTGTATGTAGGATATAATTTTGTAATGATGATTAATTATGTAATCACAAATTTTAACTAGGAATTTGTAGTGATTAATTATTTATATTCAAATATTTGATAGATTAACTTGGGGGGGGGGAAGTATCCGTTATAATTCTTTCATCTAAACCAGCGGTTCTCAACCTGTGGGTCGCGAAAATACATCCTGCATATCAGATATTTACATTATGATTCATAACAGTAGCAAAATTACAGTTATGAAGTAGCAATGAAAATAATTTTATGGTTGGGGTTCACCACAACATGAGGAACTCTATTAAAGGGTCACAGCATTAGGAAGGTTGAGAACCACTCACACACTTAGCTAAGACTTAACATACAAAACTATAGTTACTGGTGGGCATCTATAAGAACTAAGAACTTTATTTATATTCAAAGGTGTAAGAAACACTGTGCCAAATGTATCAAACACTTCCTGTGGTTGAACCCCAGGAAACTATTATGTGATCCTGGTATAATGCTTCAATACCTGCCTCAAATACTGCCTTTTCTGATTCTTACTAATCTTTTCTTTCTTGGGCACATTTAGTGACATCATTTATAGCTGAGATTTGTCATCTAGTGACATCATTTATAGCTGTTTGAGATTTGGATCTTTATGTGTGTTTTTAGCTTGTGCACTCAAGGTCTCAAGAGTAGCTTCCATGGTAGTTAACCTCTGATGATTGCTACTGGGTGTCTGTCACTGTGTTATTTCAGAAGAAATGTAATATTATCTTCACTTTGCGCGAGGAGAAAATGTATGCTGTGATAGGTTGAAACTTGTCCAAAGTGACATGGTTACATGTACTGGAACTGGGTTTCAAACCCAGGACTGTCTAGTTCTAGAGTCTGTGTGTTCTCAGCTATTCTGAGCCATTGCCTCATTAGCCATTGCAGTTAATATTAGAAATGGTACACTGAGGCTTCATGTGGCACAGAGGGTATTCTGGGATTGAGCATCAGCATCAGAAACTGGGTCATAGGTGCAGTCATGGACACTAATGAACAAACCAGGAGGGAGAGCTACTGAGGATCAGTTTCATCTACTGCCCAGTCTTCATCATAAAGTGTCATACACTTTTTGAGAATGGACTTTTATAAAATTGGCAATTGATTAATTTTTAAAACCCACCTCAATTCAAAATAACACAAATATCCAGATTTAAAAAATTGTCTTCTCTTTGCCTCATTCTACCCCTGTGATGTGAACAATTTGATGTTAATATGTCTGTGTATTTTTTTGCTTTGTTTATATAAGCATATTTAAATATATATGCACATAAGTGTGTGGAGTGTGTGTATGTATTTCCCCTAATAGCTTTCTAGTACTAATGGAATATAGTACTGTTACAGAGTCAGAAATTAATAGCCCATTAATAAAAAATTTAAAGTAAATCTGTATCAAGTACAGTTTTCCTTCTTTTTTTATTTTATTTGATTTTTTTTACAATATACAAAATAAATCTATACCAGATTGTAGATAAAAAATAATTAGCCATTTACATGCAATAAACATCAATTTTTCAAGAAAAATGATTTTAAATATAATAATGTTATATGCAATAAACATTAATATTTCAAGAAAAGCAATTTTAAATATAGTAATACTAGTAATACTAGAGGCCCAGTGCACGAAATTCATGCACTCGGGCGGGGGGGGGGGGCTTCAACCCGGCCTGTGCCCTCTTGCAGACTGGGAGCCTTTGGGGGATGTCTTACTGCGGCTTCGGGGGGAGCGGGCCTAAGCCGGTAGTCGAACATCCTTAGCACTGCTGCGAAGGCAGGAGAGGCTCCTGCCACCGCTGCTGTGCTTGCCAGCCATAAGCCTGGCTTCTGGCTGAGCGGTGCTCCCCCTGAGGGATCAGCCGAAACCAGCTCTCCGACATTACCCCAAGGGGTCCTGGATTGCGAGAGGGCATAGGCCAGGCCAGTGGACCCCACCAGCACATAATTGGGGCCGGGGAGAGACATGGGAGGTTGGCCAGCTGGGGTAGGGACCACAGGAGGGCTCTAGGGTGTGTCCGGCCCGTCTCGCTCAGTCCCGATCAGCTGGACCCCAGCAGCAAGCTAACCAACTAATTGGAGCGTCTTCCCCCTGGTAGTCGGTGCACATCATAGTGACTGGTTGACCAGTTGACTGTCTGCCCCCTGGTGGTCAGTGAATGTCATAGCGAGCAGTTGAGTGGCCTTAGCATATTATTAGCATACTAGAGGCCCGGTGCACAAAAATTTGTGCACTCGGGGGGGAAGGGGGGGTCCCTCAGCCCGGCCTGTGCCCTCTCGCAGTCTGGGACCCCTCGGGAGATAACGACCTGCTGGCTTAGGCCTGCTCCCGGGTGGCAGAGGGCAAGCCCAATCCCTAAGTGCAGCCCCTGGTCGGGCTCAGAGCAGGGCTGATTGGGGAGTTGGGGCGCTGCCCCCTGTCATGCACAGAGCAGGGCGGATTGGGAGGTTGCGATGCCACCATCAGTCACGCTCAGGGTAGGGCTGATTGGGGGGTTGGGGCACCGCCCCCTGTCACACACAGAGCAGGGCTGATCAGGGGGTTGGGATGCCACACCCTGTCACACACAGAGCCGCAGGGCGATCAGGGGGTTTGGGCGCTGCACCCTGTCATGCTGATCTGGTGCCAGGAGGCCTCGCGGCTCCGCTGATCCCGGTGCTGGGAGGCATATTACCCTTTTACTATATAGGATAGAGGCCTGGGGGCCGGCTGGTTTGCCCTGAAGGGTGTCCTGGATCAGGGTGGGGGTCCCCACTGGGGTGCCTGGCCAGCCTGGATGAGGGGATGATGGCTGTTTGCAGCTGGTCACACACCCTTCAGGGTGGGGGTCCCCACTGGGGTGCCTGGCCAGTCTGGGTGAGGGGCTGAGGGCTGCTTTCAGGCTGGCGGGAAGCTCCCAACCACTCCTTTTTTTCTTTTTTTTTTTTTTCTTCTGGGCCAGCTTTAGCTCTGGCTCTAGCTCTGAGGCTTCCGCTGCTGGTTTGTTTGCCGTTCTATAATCGAAACAATGTATAACTTCAGCTCTGAGATCCCGGCCTATATTTGTTAGAATGTTTCAAACTGCCAGCTCAGAGTCCGGCAAGTCAGGCGGGGAACGTTGGAGTCTGCAGTCACTGGAGCAAGGAAGCCTCATGTTCGCTTCCAGCTGCCTGGCTGCCGGCCGCCATCTTGGCTGACAGTTAATTTGCATAAGGATACGCTGATTAGCCAATCAGAAGGGTAGCGGTCGTACGCCAATTACCATTTTTCTCTTTTATTAGTGTAGATTATGCTGTGATTGGTTGAATGGCCGACCAGTCAACCAGACAGCATATTAGGCTTTTATTATATGGGATTACATGCAATAAACATTGATATTTCAAGTAAAAAATATTTTAAATCCTCTATAATAAAAGGGTGATATGCAAATTGACCCAAATGGTGGAATGACCGGGAACAACCATTCGCTATGATGTGCACTGACCACCAAGGGGCAGCCGGGCTGAGGGACACCCCCCCACCCCCCCCCCACCCCCGGTACATGAATTTTCATGCACCGGGCCTCTAGTATAATAATATTATCAAAACTGTACTAACATAGTATAATATCACAAATGTTATAGGCAGTATTACAAATCTGCAAATAACAGGATTACGTCTATTATATTCTAAAATATTTTTTTTCTCTTGACTCTGTTTTTGTCCATTAGTTTATGTTGTTCATTATATTCCACAAATGAGTGAGATCATGTGATATTTATCTTTCTCTGACTGGCTTATTTTGTTTAGCATAATGCTCTCCAGGTCCATCCATGGTGTTTTCCTTCTTGATAATTATGGGGGTAGCATGGTTTAGTGAAAAGTTCTTGGGTTTGGAGAAACAGATTCAAGTCTCTTTTCCAAATTTATTGACAGTGTGATCTTGAGTAAGTTCCCTATTCTTTCTGCACTTCAGTATCTTCTGCACTTTCATTGCAAAGTTTCCCTTTTTTGTCACAGAAAAGGTCAATTATCTACTCATTGATGAAAAACTTACTTTTAACAACTATATTTATTTATTTATTTATTTTAGAGAGAGAGATAAATATTCATCTGAGAGAGAAACATCGATTGGTTGCCTCCTGTAGGCCCCTTGACCAGAGGTTGAAACTGCAGCTTGGGAATTGAACCTGTGACCTTTAGGTGCACTGAATGACTCTCAACCAACTGAGCCACACTAGCCAGGGCTACTTTTAACTTTTTATCTTTTTTTCCTAAACCTTTTCAATACAATTAATTTCTTGCAACCATAGGTAAAAATTTTATAGTACAGTTGGGTACACAGTGAAAAGTAAGTCCTCCTAAACCATCTACCCCAGGTTCTCAACAGAAGCAGCCAACCCCTGTTCCCAGTTATGTTTTGCTGTGCTTGTCCACCATGTCCTGTGCATCCATTGACGTTAATTATCGTTCTCCTACTGGGCAAAGACCACATTCCTAAATATGAAAAATTAAGGTTCTGTTGTCCTATAGATATTTTTAACAATTATTTCCTAATTATTTTTACAAGTCGGCCACAGGTGTATATTTAGCAGCATTACCAACACCTGGTGGAATTCAGATTGCTGGGAAGACTCCTAATGATGGCTCCTACGAACAGCATGTATCTCATATGCAAAAGAAGATAAATGACACGATCGCTAAGAATAAAGAGTTATATGAAATCAATCCTCCAGTAAGTAAACTAAGTCTACATTGTGAATATATCAGTTATTGTGTAGTTGTTAGTATATTTTTTAGGTTATCTTACTTTGGACCTTAAAGACTTTTTTCACTGTTTAGATATGTTCTCCTCATTACTCATTCTTTTCCCTCCCTTTACATCTATGCTCAAATGTCTTCTTTTTAGGGAGGCTTACTCTGACTATTTAAGAATTGTAACTCTCCCATTAATTTTTGATACTTCCTATCCCCCTTTCTTATCTATTGTTTGTTACTGCCAGTAGAATCAAGCTCTATCAGGACTGTATCCCTAATGCCTAGAACAGTTCCTTCTGGTATTTTTTAAATAAATACTTATTGAATAGTTAAATAGCTTAAAATCTTCTCTCTCTCTTTTTTAATAAAAAGAAAGATCGCTTACCTATGGTAAAGTGTGAAAGAATAGAGATTTTTTTAGTTTGGCATTTTTCTTACAATTTTCCTACCAGTCATTTGCATAGTCAGTCTTTTCACCAGCTTTGCAATTGGTATCACAATGCTTCCTACTCTACAGATGTCCTATAGCTTTAACCTGAATTGAAAGATGTGTTGAAGTAGGAATGAAACTATTTGTTTTTATAAGTCTCTGATAATGAAATACTTCTATAAAAGGTAACTGTTTGGATAACATTATTTTCATTATTTTATTTTATATATGCTACTGAATTTTGGTTGGTCTTCTGGAATAGTACATCTGAATTCCAGTTTCAAACTAACAGCTTTCTAGCAAAGTTATTAAGCTGGTAGGAATTTTAAGGACATAACTAGGGTTACACAGTTCAGTGTGGTAGACACTGGTCACATGTGGCTATTAAGCACTTGACATGTGGCTAGTCTGAATTGAGATGTGGTATTGGTGTAAAATATACCAGTACACTGGATTTTGAAGACTTAGTAAATGAAAAAGAACGTAAAATACCTTTTGGATTCTTTTTATATTGATTACATGTTTCATTTGTATCTTTTTTATATTATTACCTATGAAGCTTGCTTTATATTTCTATTGAGCAGTGTCGATATAGTTTCTTTAAATTCATTGAAAATGTTAACGTGTTAATATATTTACTTACATAGCCTTTGTAAAAGCTTTCTGCAAAACGCTTTATTGACTGCTTGTTTGCTGTAATTATTTTTCTTTTATAATTATATTTTGATATTTAAACATCTACTAGTAGTGTTTATTCCTGTTGGGAAGAATGATTTGCAAAGATATATGTTAGGATTCCATATATGAATTGTAATGATATGAGCTGAACTTTCACGTAATAGTGTTTATCAACTCTACTTCCATCCTGACCTCCCTCAGGACCTGCCTCTTCCATTGTGTTTCTGTTGTACCTGTATTTGCTTCTGTCATGGTGCCTGTTACATTTTAGTGCACTTAGTTTTACACGTCTCTCTTCCTTTTCTATATAAAAGCCCCTTGAAGACAGAGACATATTTAGAGAATGTGAATTAAGTTACTTTATTCAATAAATATTTATGAGCTACTGTTTAGTATTGCATTTTAGAGGAGGGAATAAATCTTTCTTTTTAAAATATGTTTTTATTGACTTTTTTAGAGAGAGAGGAAGGGAGAGGGATAGACAGACAGAATCATTGATGAAAGAAAAACATCGATCGGCTGCCTCATGCATGCCCCTACTGGGGATCAAACCTGCAACCTGAGCATGTACTCTGACCAGGAATCGACTGGGGACCTCTTGGTTCATGGGTTGATGCTCAACAACTGAGCCACACCAGCTGGGCGGGAATAATCTTTTATGAATTTAAAAACTTCAGCATAGCCGAAACCGGTTTGGCTCAGTGGATGGAGCGTCGGCTGCGGACTGGAGGGTCCCAGGTTCGATTCCAGTCAGGGGCATGTGCCTGGGTTGCGGGCGCATCCTCAGTGGGGGATGTGCAGGAGGCAGCTGATCGGTGTTTCTCTCTCATCGATGTTTCTGGCTCTCTATCTCTCTCCCTTCCTCTCTGTGAAAAATCAATAAAATATATTTTTTTAAAAAAACAACAAAAAAAAATTCAGCATATATGGATTTCATATGTTGAATATGACTGTATTTTTACAAAAGGATTAATCAACTTATGAGTATTCTACTATGGCTTTCCTTATTTCAATACTTATTACATTCTGGTCTTTTAGCTTAACCTATCAGAATTTGTTTGAGAAAGTCAGTGTACAAGGCCACTACTCATATTACAGTTTTGTGTTTTCAATTTTCTAAAACAATGTATGCCCACCCTGAAAATGTGGGTCAGTGTTCCGTGTCTTAGAAAGGTAGCCCCAGCTGAAGTGAGTGCTGCTGTTTAATTTTTTTCTCAATACCTTGAGAAACTTTTTAAAAATTTATTTATTAAATTGATTGGGGTGACACTGGTCAGCATGAACATACAGGTTTCATGTGTGAATTTCTATGTTACAAGATCTGTGTATTGCACCGTGTGCTCACCACCCAAGTCAAATCTCCTGTCACCTCACATTAGGACCCCCTTCTGCCCCCAACCCCTTCCCTCTGGCTGTTTGTGTTCACAAGTTTCAGTTTTATATCCCACATATTACTGAAATCATAGGGTTCTTTTTCTGTCGTACTTATTTCACTTAGCATAATGTTCTCAAGGTTCATCCCTGTTGCTAAGAAAAACATTTCTTATGCAAAGGTGTAGTACCACTTAACTGGAAATAACTAAGTCAGCCAGAGTATCAAAATGAGGTGCAAAACTTTTATTGGGAATTAACAGCACCAGTGGTAAAACCTCATTATGAATCTAAGATATATTCAGTTTTAGTTAGTTATATTTATTTCATCCATGTTACAATAAAGAGAGGCATAACTGAATTTTAAACTACTACAGAATTGTAAAATGAAGGATAGTTTCAATATTGCATTCAGGGTCAAAAGAACTGATCTAGACAAGTTCATCACTTACTAGTTTGCAAACCCAGGCAAACTACTCTACTTCTGAACTGCGTCTCTTTCTTATTTTGTATTCATTATAATAGGCACCCTGTCAGATTTATATAGGGCAGGTTAATTTGGAGTACAAGCAAAATAAATGGATGTGAAAGTACTGCATAGATAGCTGTGTTATGAAACTGTGGTGGTAGTCTTACGTAACCTATGCGCTAGCGATGAACATTTAAAATTAGCCTTTTGAAAAGCTTTTTCTTATAACTTCCTTGTTTTCTTGTTTGTTTGTTTTTTTAAAAGATGGGTCTGTTATACTAATAATAAGCTATGTCTTTTGCATTTGTGCTCACATATCCACATTCTCCTGATAAGTTGCCAACAGATACTTAGAACCTCTGGTTAGCTGATATTTGGCTATATAATAGGAAAAAGCTGATTAAACCATATAGGATTGCACCTTACACTGACCTCAAAAAGATCATTATTGTAACTACCAAAGTTTACTTAGCTTAATAAATAGTAAAGCAAATACATGTGTAATATGTGCACTACATATACATACACACATACATCTATTATATTCCTCATTTTACTGTGTGGAGCTATGAAAAATTACCACTGGATAAGAAAAGATATAAAGAGTAGAACCATAGTTAGGGACACAAATCTTTAATTCTTTGTGGAGTATTAGGACTTTTAAATGCTGTGCAGAAAATAAATTCTAAGCTGGAAGGACTGCCAGTTCCCTACTCATTGTAGTTTTCTCTCTGTACAGTAGATGTCAGTAATGCCTTGCCATGTCTGTTTTTGAATTATACATACCTATAAAAAGTTAGTTATGAAATATACACTTTAAATATTTTTTGTAGACTCCTCCCAAAGGTAGTTGTCTGTTATTATAAAAATTTAAAACCAAACTAAAGTATGCAAATATCAAATCATTGTGTTATACACCTGAAACTAATATGTTATACGTCAATTATACCTCAATTAAAAAAAAAGAAAAAACTGAAAATTATGGTCTTTTGTAATATAAAGCAATTATATATATATTTTTTAGGAGATATCTGAAGAGATTATAGGATCACCCATCCCAGAACCTCGACAACGTTCAAGACTCTTAAGATCTCAATCAGAAAGTTCTGATGAAGTTACAGAATTGGACCTATCACATGGGAAAAAAGATGCTTTTGTTTTGGAGGTATTATTGCATTGGAGTAATTTCTTAAAGTTTTTAGATGTGTAATTTTACAATCATACTTGATGTGATTCTTTTGTATCATTACAACTGTTATAAAAAATATAATATTTAAATATTACAATAAACTTGAGAATATCAGAACTTAGTAATATATTTTTGTTCAATACCAGAAGACCGATAACAATAATGCAGGTGGTTCTGGAAAAATTTATGTATGGGTTGAAATAAAATTAAAGTAATATTAACTCTTGGAGCTATTTATTGTAAACTTGGATGAATTTAAATAAGAAATTAATGTACTGTTGTTTCACTTACTAGAATTCCCTGCTTTATATGTTGTAACATTTTACTTTAACATTTTTACATGTAATAATATAGGCACTGTGAATCTGAATGTAGTGTTTTCTTATTGAATTCAGAGGATATCATTGAACTTTCATTATAAAAATATACTCAGAACTAGCTTTTCTGGAGGATAAATGTGGTATAAAAGGTTCAGGGAGCCTCCTCTCTCAACAAATCTGCTCCCCCTGCCCTCGTCTCTAGAACGGTTAGCTTTGAAAGAGATAGATTCCTTTGATATTGAAGGAAAGGAAAATAAATGAGGATGCTCAGAAATGTCCTGGTAAGGTGCCTGTTGAAAGAAAAAGTCAGGTGCCTTGATCTCAGTGAAGCAGGAAGCTGACGGTAGAATTGTATTGGAATGGGATTGGAGTTCTGAAGAGTCTAGAACAGTGCCTGTGAGTGTGATCAGGATGTCAGCCGTGGGAAATGCACAAGGCTTAACTGAGGTAAGAGTGTTAATTTGTAGAAAACTCAATCTGTATGGATTTGTGCTTTTTTCTCATCTTTTTTTATGGTCTGAGAATGGAAAAATCATGGGAGTTGGTAAAAAATATGTCAGGTTAAGGAGGTAAAAGGATCCAGGGTACTGGTTAGAGCAGTGCTACTCAAAGTGGGCTGTGACTACCTATAGTGTTAGCACCCTCTGGAAGTTTGTAAGAAATACAAATTCTGGGGCTCTTACTTCAGACTTCGTAAATGAAAATTTCATGGTGGGGCCAAGGAATCTGTTTAACAAACTCTCCAGGTGAGTCTTAGAATTACCTGAAGTTTGATCTAGAGCAGTGGTTCTCAACCTTCTGGCCCTTTAAATACAGTTCCTCATGTTGTGACCCAACCATAAAATTATTTTCGTTGCTACTTCATAACTTAATGTTGCTACTGTTATGAATCGTAATGTAAATATCTGATATGCAGGATGGTCTTAGGCGACCCCTGTGAAAGGGTCGTTCGACCGCCAAAGGGGTCGCGACCCACAGGTTGAGAACCGCTGATCTAGAGCATCATTGATACTTCTCATCCTGGAATCCTGACTAAGTAATGAACAGAAGTGCTTCCAATGTGGGCATAAGATGGGGGACAAGGTGCAGATTCAGTAAGAAAAAGGGCAAAAGGATAGGGGATTGTAGTTGTAGAATGCTTGAATCTGGGTGTGGAATGGTTTGGGGAACAGTGTTGAGGTATAGCCATGACCATGATAGTTAAGGTAAAGTGGGAGTGAAGGTGGTTCTGGAAGTCACAGGGGTGATCTGAGTGGAAGCATAGAGTGTGTGAGGCAGGACTTAGACCCCTGATGTACAGATGAATTCAGTATATGTCTAGTTGCATAGTTTCACTCTATTATTCACAATGGAATATTGTGATATAAGAAAAATAGGATTTAGACCTAATTTGTTAGGCATGCCTTTAAATTTATCCCTACATAATTTTATTTTAAAGCAATTGTGTATTTAGTCAAAATTGTGTGTTTTTTTTATTGCACTATATTTATTTAAACAAATAGAGATAATTTTTGCTTATGGTATCTTCTTTTGAAACATGCCCTCCTAAAAGATTAAGAAAAGGCTCGTTAAAAGAAAAAATTAATTATACTTAAAAATTATTTCACTTGGAAGTATTTATAATTATTACTGTGGAGAAATATACCGATATTTGAAAAGAATTTCTTTCAAGTTTTATATTTTAATTTAGGGAAAAGGTTATTTTTTGACTCTTATGTTTTTATTTAGTAAAAAATTTTTTAAAAATTGAAAATGATTATATATTTACTACTTATGTAATAGTTGAAATCTTTCTATTTTCAGATTGATGACACAGATGCTATGGAAGATGTACATTCTCTCCTTACTGATGTTCCTCCTCCTTCAGGTAAACAGAAAAAATTACCTTTGAGATGCGACTGTCCTTTTTTTTGCACATCAGTATTTTAGTTCATAATTATTATGGTACTAACTTTATTTTAGAGGCTTTATCAATGTCACACCTTGTTATGTGCTTTGCTGCTCCAAGACGGAAAACAGGTTTAAAATATTTATGTTAGAACTTAGATGAACTGATTTTTAATCCTTTTAAGATTATACATTTTTTTAAAAGTGGTAATTTATTAAGATAGTCTAACATTTTAGAAAAGAATGAATGGTTCTTATAGTTAGAATGTCATGTAATAATTGAAACAGGTTATTCTTAACACAAAAATAAATGAAATATCATATTTTAACTATAATTTATTTTGACAGGCTTTTATAGTTGTAATACAGAAATTATGCCTGGGATAAATAATTGGACATCTGAAATACAGGTGAATCTTTCATTTTTAATTTTAAATAAATACAACATAAGTGATCTTAGCAAGTTCCTTCTTAATATATGTTTTCTTTTTTCACCTCCTTATTGCAATTAAAATGTTACCCTTTTTCATACCACATTAGTTATTATTGTTCATTATTAGCAGTTTTATTGTTATAGTGATTAAAGTAATAAAATGCCATACTATCATATCTCCCCATATTTAGATGTTCACATCAGTAAGAGTAATCCGATTAAGCAGTCTTAACCTGACTAATCAAGCCCTCAATAAGAACTTTAATGATCTCTGTGAAAATTTGCTGAAGGTAGGTACCTTCTGACTAACTATATTTTAGTTAAAACTCCTAAGAATCATGAAATTGAAAATGTGTACATATTGGCTGGAATACCTTACACAGTTATGGGCTGAATTATTTTTGTTTACATATCAACTTAACTCTGCCATCAGATAAAATGCTAAAGTTGTCCTGTCTATCTTAATATACCATACTATAAAAGAAATATATTTTAAGTTATCTCATAGCTTTAAACTTCATAAAAATCTGTTGTATGTAAATTTAAAATACCTTTTTCTTATATTATTTTTTATGACATCGATAGATATGATTAAACCTTATTGTCTGCCATAATATTGAAAACTAGAGGCCTGGTGCATGAAATTCATGCACTGGAGGGGGGTGGGGCCCCTCAGCCAAGCCTGCACCCTCTCACAGTTCGGGAGCCCCACGATCAATCGCCCTCAGAGTGAGGCCCTGCCCACACGGCCGGGGCTCCGCTATGGATCGCCCAAAAGAGGTAGGCCCTGCCGGGGCTCCGCAATGGATGGCCTCCGCAGAGGAGGCCCAGGCTACCCGCCACAGCACACTGGCTGGGTAGCCTGGGCCT